GCACCACTGAAGAGATCACATGCAAGTTATAAAAAACTGTCATGTATAATTTGCGACATAAATGGTTTGTTTTCTAGCTACCTAGTAGGAGTTCTTTACCAACGTGATCTTCAATTGAGCCCTGACAGTAGGATTGAATTCACTTCGCCAAAAAACACCTTGTAAGGGTGATTATCTTCTAAACTATTCAGTGCTCTAGTCTTTGTTAGGTTGAATGCATTAGTTTTTGAAAAAATAATATGAGTCGCAGGAGACAGTAATTAGACTTTTTCTTTTCTTAATGAGAATTTTTCGTAACAAAAGGCGATCTTGTGGTCAGTTATTATTACGGAAAATACCCGATTAAGGGTTTTCATCAAACAGCTGGAAACATATTTATTTAGGAAAAATGTTCTCAATTTAGCACTGACAAGAACCCAGAAAATTCTAAGAGCAGAGTACTGTAACTTTCACAAAAGGCGTTGTCCACAAACAATGTTTAAAATGTGAAAAGCGACTATTCCAACGTTGTTTCAACTTAAAAATGTTTAGATTATATGTCCAAACACCGACTAGAGAACACTTGCGAGTTAAAACCCCTCACATGTAACACCCTCACACCCTGTTTACTAGATAATTCCACAGCCAGCGATTTTGAAATGGGCGGACTACTACGCTAGAAACAGACTCAAAAGGGTTTATCCACCGACGTACGTGCCGCGTCGACAAATTTGGCGTCGAACTCTGTTGTTATGTTTTATAGGAGTTTTAATCATTTGTGGGAATAAATTAATTTAACGCCGAGCTTTCTCACCCAATACTTAGTTCTCTGTCTTTAAGAAATCCATTGCAAATCCAAAAAAAGAATGCTTTTGAAGTTATGAGCCACAACAACGCAAAAACCCGAAAGGGCCGAAAACAGACTCTTTATTCATTGCCCAACTGACAACTCCACAAGTTTTCTTTTTGAGATCAATTCTTGCGTTTTTGACATTTCCCAAATCAAGTTGGCCAGAAGTTTGACTTTTCGAAACTCTTTAAACCGAGAAGATATTCAAAACCTAGATAGAGCGTCGCTCAAATTAATCACAGAAGCTAATATGGTAATATTGTATACTAGCTCTTCTTTCGCTAAACGGAATACGACGAAAATACAATTCAACTGACGGCAAATAAATGTGATTGAAACGACCAGTCTGCGATACTATGAGTTCATGCAAAAGACAACATCGCACCAAAACCAGATTCCTTAAATATAACTTAACTTTGTTTCGAAAACTCTCCTCTTTCTCGAGCAAATCGTGTTTCTTACAATGCTGAACGGGTAAGAAATTTATAAACTGAGATGTACTCAATTGGTATCTGGAACTTTTAAGCCCGATCGGTAAAGAAATGACAGAAACATTTTCCATTTGGTTCCTATTTCGCTGTTCACCGTTCCTCTCAACAAAAGCGCGGCCACAAATTTTGCTGCGAGATGGATTGTTGGCGGTATCTCTACTCGATCAATTTTTCGTCCGCTAATTTATGCAAACCTTTCCAGACCTTTAAAAGCAGCATTAATTTGCCAAATTCTTACTCGTACTTTCCTAAAACTCTGCCAGTCAAGTCCTATGACGGTGCTTTTCCTTGCTCCTCATTTCAAAAATATCGAATGCAAATTTGTTTTCACTGACACCGGAACTGCCAGTAAAATGAGATAAGTCTCTTCATTACACATTTTCTTCGTAATTTATCTTGAAGGCTGTTTGAAAATTTATTTTTCGTTTGGTTTTTTTTCTTTTTTGGAGTTATGTCTTCCATATCTCGACTCTGCCAACAGTCTGCGTCTTCTAATCTCCCGCACTCAGCAATATTAATTTCGGTTTCATCTCTTAATCATAATAATGAAATATTTTATCCCTTTCCCTTTTCTTCCTAGTTTATCTTCCAGTTAACTTTTTACACAAAACAGCTTTGATGCATATGTAAAATATTTTCAACAGTTATTGATATATTTATTTATCTAAAATGTCACAGGAAGCTCAGGGTCAGGGAAGATGAAAAAAAAAAGCAACTGAAAGCTCTAAACAGAGTGCAAAAAAGGGGAGGCCCCGCCTCTCAAGAGAAGGGTGCTTTACGGGGCGTTTGATTGAATACAATCAAAGGAGGAAATCAATTTAAGAAATTCAAATAAATGGGTCACACTCTAATTATCTTGTGCCTTTAACTCTTCCTTTTCGACTTGTGCACCATTTGTAATAATTATAATAATAATAATAATAATTTGTATAGCGCAAATTTCATACAATGTTCAAATGCGCTTCACAATAAAATAANGGGTAATGTGACGTCAAATCGAGAACACGAAAGTCTGCATTTCACACATTTTCACTTGTTTGGGAAGGTTGTAGTCGATAATTGTCCGAAAATATGCCGACTAAGTGTGTTGTAGAAGGATGTAGCAACGTGCGAAATTTGCAAGAGGGTATCGCGCTTCATACATTCTTCATACAACACACCTAGTCGGCATATTTCGGACAATATCGACGACAATCTTCCCAAACAAGTGAAAATGTGTGAGATGCAGACTTTCGTGTTCTCGATTTGACGTCACATTACCCGCTAGAGCCATTCTTCTTTAAACTCGGTCGTGGGGCAAGATGGCGGCCGATTTTCCGTACTTTGACTGGGCATAGAAAATTAAAGATTTGAGCAAATTAAAAAATTTTTGCACAGAAATACTCCAAAAAATAAGCTTATTTCGTTAAGCGAAAAAACAATTTTGGGTTTAGGTGCACTTTAACTGTACAATCAGAGACAATATAATTGCAATCAATCTTATTAATGCGATTTTTTCCCTTGAATTTCTTCTCCCCCTAAATAATTTTTCGCTTTTGTTGTCTTTTCTTATGTACAATCATCTAATAAATACTGATACATTCAGCACTTACATGAAAAAATTTATAATTTTCGGGTCCAAGCTGTTGTGTTTTTCTTACCAACTGAGATCTTAGTGACTAACCAGCCACACACACTTCCCGGTAGGTTCTTAATCATTTCCCAGAAATGATATACAGCATAGATTACTGAGGCCACTTTTCTTCCCTGTACGCAATATACTGATAATTTATTTTTCCAACTTACTTAACACGCAATTGAATTTGCCTTCCAGATATTTAAATGTTCCTTGACATGGATCGCCACCAAACTCTGATGATTTTGCAATCAACTCGCAGCTGACTTTTCCGTTGCATTTTGTCTGCACGGTGGAAAGAGACTTCACAGCAATACAGTTTCTAGTTTCAATACTTTTGTGTGGGCATGTGCCTCCGTCCATTCTTCCGTAATTCGCATAGACTACGTCGATCTTTCTTTCGTTTTCACAACAGATTCGGTTTGATTCACCTTCACAAATGATAATAGACCACACTTTCACTGCAACAAAGAAGACAATGCAAAGAATAACATTTTCAACAAGTCCAGCAATTCTGTAGTTAATTGCATAATTGAATAAAATCTCTCATTCTGATTGGTGAACGAAGCGAGGAATTGAGCGTGGAATTGCGAGTTGGAAACGGGGTGATATTGTTTCGCATCTCCTCTTTCGCTCTCAGGTTAAAAACAATGTTAGTGCTTTTTTCTCTTATTTTCATTCAATTGTGCGACTCAAGGTAAACTCATTACCTGTCTCATAGTCAGTAGTTCCTAATATAAGTAGCTCCTAATATAATCAAACTTTTATACCCTTTTGAAACAACTATTTCTACTTTCCTGAAACCCTAAAGTGTGTCAGCCAAGAGTATTTTATCGGGAGACACTAGTGGCCAAATTAATTCTTTTTCACGAATTGAAAGGAACTTTATTTAGACACAGTCCTTTTGTTTTCACTACAAACTCCTACCCCTGTAACTGCATTGAAAAATCAAATGAAATATAGATGGTTACAATTTGGTAATGACAACAAATTTAAAGGAACATTGCTTTCTGTCATTGTTATGTGAACATGCAGTAAAAAATCTTCATCAATTGACATGAGATAATTGTATCTATAATACAAAATGTACACTTATGCTATGCGATTAATCTCCTCAATGATGAATTGACTTAATTGACTGACAACACAGTTTTTATATTATGACTGCTTTCAGTAGAGTGTTTTTGTTGCTTAGAGTATGCCAGCAAAGAGTCAGCAACTTTGGTTGCAAGTAATGTTGCTGCATTCCTAGAAAGTCCACTGAAGAATTGGGTTGACTTTACAGCAACTGTTGCATAATATTTGCCATAAAACTTTTCTGCATCTTCATTTCTTGTATATCCTTCATAGATTGCTTTTATAGCAGAGAATTCATTGCTGTCTTCTTGTAGCTGTTGGTATGAGTAATTGCTGAGCTCCTTCCTTGCGCCTCATTTCAAAAATATCGAATGCAAATTTCTTTTCACTGACACCGGAACTGCCAGTAAAATGAGATAAGTCTCTTCATTACACATTTTCTTCGTAATTTATCTTGAAGGCTGTTTGAAAATTTATTTTTCGTTTGGTTTTTTTTCTTTTTTGGAGTTATGTCTTCCATATCTCGACTCTGCCAACAGTCTGCGTCTTCTAATCTCCCGCGCTCAGCAATATTAATTTCGGTTTCATCTCTTAATCATAATAATGAAATATTTTATCCCTTTCCCTTTTCTTCCTAGTTTATCTTCCAGTTAACTTTTTACACAAAACAGCTTTGATGCATATGTAAAATATTTTCAACAGTTATTGATATATTTATTTATCTAAAATGTCACAGGAAGCTCAGGGTCAGGGAAGATGAAAAAAAAAAGCAACTGAAAGCTCTAAACAGAGTGCAAAAAAGGGGAGGCCCCGCCTCTCAAGAGAAGGGTGCTTTACGGGGCGTTTGATTGAATACAATCAAAGGAGGAAATCAATTTAAGAAATTCAAATAAATGGGTCACACTCTAATTATCTTGTGCCTTTAACTCTTCCTTTTCGACTTGTGCACCATTTGTAATAATTATAATAATAATAATAATAATTTGTATAGCGCAAATTACATACAATGTTCAAATGCGCTTCACAATAAAATAACACAGTAATGATTAATACCACTATTAAAATAAAATAAAATAAAATAAATACTAGAACTACATACAAATACTAATGTTATACTAATACTGCTATAATATCGTGTTCAGGCTAAGATAACGCTAAAAACACAATATTTCTTAAATTTTTATTCATCCTTTTATTCATTTTTATTCATCCTTTTATTCATCCTTTCTTCGTCCAAATGAAAAAAATCGGCACGAATATTACAAAACTGATAATGCTGGTCATTATTTACCAGATAAAACGAAATTTTCTTCGTTTAAATGAAACACACTCCCAGACATCTTATGATATTCAGTGCCCGTAGAAAACATCAGGGTGTAAAGAGCTTACACGATTCATACCTTGAAAGGTGCGTGGAACTAAAAAAAAATATTGATTATTGTGAATACTTTGTAGTGATTAAGCTGGGAATAGGTTTTGTGAGATTTCAACAACTTTAGAGCCAACTTGTACCAAACGGCCAGGTTTTATCCTCTATAACATGTTTCTGCTCCAAGCTTAAAGATCTGCTGGTTTTATCGTGGGCCACTAGAATTAAACAGTTTGTTGCGAAACTGCAGAAAAGTTGTGTTAACCAGAGCTATTTTAGTTGACTTCCAATAAGCCACTCGACTCTCTTTAAATGCAGGGGTCTACTAATAGTTCATTGAGAACTTTGCAGAGACAGAAAACTTGCATGGAGAGCATTATAGACGTGCCTATCTTTTAAAGAAAACTCTCATTTAGACCACCCTAAAAAAAAAAAAATCGTTTGTAATATTCTTGTCATGTGCCAAAAGTAGTTGGTTACAAAATGCATGAACTTATTGAATGAGCTTGAAATCCACTAAACTGAGAAAAATTTGAATATAAAAGCTTGTATATTAATATATGTGAACTGAAAACTATGAAATTAACAAAAGAGGCCAACTTTATTGCTTTTTTTTTTTACAGCCATATCCGCTAAACATGAGAATATACTCTTCTGCATGTTGACTGAGAGGGTATTGATTTGAATTTCCTATGTAATTTCTCCGCCAAGCGGTAGATTTTACTAAAAACTAAAAAAACCCCAGAAAGGTTACAAACGAAGCAGAAAGGCCTACTCTACAAAATTATCCGTCAAAAGAAAGATTTAAAGTCATTCGCATCATATCGGTACAATACGTCTAGACATGTTTCGTCTTTCTTATTCAGTTTTTGTCTTTACGCCGTTTTTTTGCATCGATTATAGAGGGTCTCAGCAAGGTGACGGCTTTCACAGCTAACGGTTAACGTTTTGGCAAATTTACAGTTAACGCTTAATTTTTTTAAAAATTAAGCATTAGGTGTTAACAAGGATCTAATTTTTTTTTTAAAATTAGATCCTTAGGTGTTAACAAAAGCTTTAAAAAGTTGAAGCAGTTTCATCTTTTTCTAAAACTGGATCTCTATGAACGCTAAGGGCTAAACTTCCATGTATACAAAGTAGTAATTTAAGGGAAACCGCTTTGCCTTCAAGTGTAACGGGTTCTTGCTTTGAACTTCGAAACTGTATTATCAGATAAACAGCTTTGTCCATAGCTACTAAATTATTTTGATAATTTTGTAAAGCATGAGATGTCTAAAAATACCCTCTAAATCTTGCTAAACAGATTAAAATTTTTAAAAAGCTTGCAATAACTACATCAGTGATTGCAATTGTGTTCACTGACCTAAAGTTGAACACAGACCATCTGCGTTGTATAAACACCCAAACACAACGTTTGATGAACTGCTCCGGAAAGAGTCGGGCAAAGAACGAAGCAGGGGTCAAATTATCTATGTCGGAAAACATCTACGAATAGACCTACACTTTCAAATGCTGTTTCTATAAATTCTGAAATTAACAAAAGAGGCCAACTTTATTGCTTTTTTTTTTTACAGCCATATCCGCTAAACATGAGAATATACTCTTCTGCATGTTGACTGAGAGGGTATTGATTTGAATTTCCTATGTAATTTCTCCGCCAAGCGGTAGATTTTACTAAAAACTAAAAAAACCCCAGAAAGGTTACAAACGAAGCAGAAAGGCCTACTCTACAAAATTATCCGTCAAAAGAAAGATTTAAAGTCATTCGCATCATATCGGTACAATACGTCTAGACATGTTTCGTCTTTCTTATTCAGTTTTTGTCTTTACGCCGTTTTTTTGCATCGATTATAGAGGGTCTCAGCAAGGTGACGGCTTTCACAGCTAACGGTTAACGTTTTGGCAAATTTACAGTTAACGCTTAATTTTTTTAAAAATTAAGCATTAGGTGTTAACAAGGATCTAATTTTTTTTTTAAAATTAGATCCTTAGGTGTTAACAAAAGCTTTAAAAAGTTGAAGCAGTTTCATCTTTTTCTAAAACTGGATCTCTATGAACGCTAAGGGCTAAACTTCCATGTATACAAAGTAGTAATTTAAGGGAAACCGCTTTGCCTTCAAGTGTAACGGGTTCTTGCTTTGAACTTCGAAACTGTATTATCAGATAAACAGCTTTGTCCATAGCTACTAAATTATTTTGATAATTTTGTAAAGCATGAGATGTCTAAAAATACCCTCTAAATCTTGCTAAACAGATTAAAATTTTTAAAAAGCTTGCAATAACTACATCAGTGATTGCAATTGTGTTCACTGACCTAAAGTTGAACACAGACCATCTGCGTTGTATAAACACCCAAACACAACGTTTGATGAACTGCTCCGGAAAGAGTCGGGCAAAGAACGAAGCAGGGGTCAAATTATCTATGTCGGAAAACATCTACGAATAAACCTACACTTTCAAATGCTGTTTCTATAAATTCTGAACTAAAGGGAAAAAACTAACTTTAGTACCACTGATTGCTTTGGTAAAACTATACCTTAAAACTCTGACCAACAAAAATCTAAAGAATGACTAAATGATTGTTTGACCAGCCCTTAAAACAGAATTACCAACGTACACGCCTCAACGAAGGTGCAAGCATGTTCAGTTCATTGGATGAGTGTAATGTTTACCCGACCATGATCCTCGCTATTATAACAACATTCATTTTGCTGATTTGTTCCATTGTTAAAAGATCCACCCCCTCCCCCACAGGAAAACTCTGCATAAGCCCCGCCAATCCCTCCCAGAGTAACCTCCCCCGCCGCTAGCTCCATTGTTGTCCGCACGTAAGCCACCGCCGCCTCCGAAACAACCCTGGCTGCCTCCACCCCCTCCTCCCTGAAGATATCCTTTACCTCCTATACTTCCTTTATTTCCATTAACTCTAGGAGTTGTTTCGTCTTGTCCATTACTCAAGAAGCCACCACCACCACCGCCTACCAAAATAAGAACATGATCAATGATTTCTTATAAAGACCATAAATATCATCTTTTTTGTATTAATTTAACCTTTTACACAATAACATTAGTCAACATATTCTTGATTAAGTTGGTGATCATTTTCTTTATTCTCGTAACCTTAATGTGTAAGTTTGTGGTGATATTGCGAGGAGAAATCAGGGCCCAGTCCTTATTTTTCACCTAGGGGAGGGGGGCACTGGAGAAATTTTGGTTGTGTACTGATACAATTTCCCTGATCCTCGCCCCTTAGGCTCAAGAACATTTTTATTATCCCCCCCCCCACCCCTGCTTTATACTCGATTAACAAGGACTGTTCCCTCTCCGCTCCCCCTAAAAACCATGGGATTTCCCAAAATCCTCCACCCCCCACTCCCAGGTAATAAATAATGACTGGTTCCTCAAATGCTATTCAGTCTGAGGAGGTAAAGGGTTAAAAGCGGTTGAACAATGACGCACAATATTTTTCAATTACTTTAATTTTTGATTTTTGGAATTTTCTTCAAA